CCGTGGATAGCCTACCGAAAGTCGGTAGCCAAAAAAATAAAAATTTGCCTACCGAAAGTCCGTTTTATTGGCTTAAAATGTCACGTGTCAAAATAGAATTTATTAACCAATAAAAGCGCTTTTTTACAGTTATTTTCATAACTTTTTAATTTACAGTTATTTTCATAACTTACTTTGATTTTGTTTCTAGCAAAATTATGGCTTTTTCATGCTCTGACTCTTTTGCATCATTTGCACTTTTAAAAGAAGCTATCAGGAATTACGAAGATACTTCTTTTATAAAGTTGTGGGTAAGAGATGCCAGAACTATTGAGGCTGCTAGGAAATCCATTCCTATAAAAGCTGCTTTTATGGCAGCTGATATTAAATACTATTTTATCAAATACTGTTGCATACATGGTGGTCAAAAATTTAAATATTGTGGCAAAGGAAAACGTAAAACTTCGTAAGTTATTGTGTTCATTGTCTTTTTCAAAAACAATGACTTTGCAAAGTATAGATTTACTTTGTTTATTTATAATAAAAATATATTTTATATAAATTATATATATTTACTTTGATATATATATATATATATATATATATATATATATATATATATATATATATATATATATATATATATATATATATATATAATTGTTATTGGATTATAATTTATAATCCAATAACTAACTAATAAAAAAAAGTCTTGAGTTGCATTTTGATTTTTTATAATTTTAATAATTATAGAACTTTTAAAAAAGACTGTCCATTCTACCTGAATTTTAAAGCTTCTGAAGATGGACAATTTTTAGTGTTACATGCAATGAATAATACGCATAATCATGAAGTATCTGAAGTAAAAAATTTTTGTTTTATATTTAAATAATAATTATTATTTAAATTATTTGTTTTTAATATAAGTTGCGCACAAGCACATACACTTACAAATGCATATATATATATATATATATATATATATATATATATATATATATATATATATATATATATATATATATATATATATATAATAACAAGCAGCAATAACATTAACAATATAAAAGTATAATAATATAAAAGTAAATTTAAAAATGAGAAATATATTTATAATAATAGCAATAATGCTCTTAGATGTAGTAATGACAATAATCATAATTATATTAGCAATAATAATAACAATAATAATGATATTGGCAAGTATCACTGATAAATATCAAACAATATGCAATAATGAAAGTAATAAAAATGCAAATAAAATGGCAAATGAGGTAAATAAGTTCTTCAATTTTATGTATGGGTTTGTCAATTATCACAGTATATTACCAAACTTCAATTGCAAATGGTATTAATTTTGGTATAGATAATTTAAGTTATTAAAAGTTTGAAGATATTAATAAGAATTTTTTTAAGTGGTGAAAAATTTAAAAATGAAGGAGGGGGATTATTAATAATCCCCCTCCTTCATTTTTAAATTTTTATATATAGAATATATTCTATATCAAATCACTTAAAGGCTCCCAGGGTACCACCTCAGAATTGCTTTAAATTTTGACCAAAAATACAATCCAGAAAATTTCAGCTTGATTGACCAATTTGTTCAAAAGTTATGAATGAATTAAAAATTACCAAAATCCGAAAAATTTGTGTATCAGTAGCTTACAGCAGTTTTTTTTGATTTTTGATATACCATAACTTTTTAAATAAAGATGGTGATCACCTGAAATTTTGTAGGGTAATAGTTTTTCACCCAAATAAAGCGTTTACACGAAATAAATGTAAAAGTAGAAAAACAACTAAAAAAAAGTACTCTTCAATTTTTATTTCCAACCAAGTAATAACTTTAATACAATAATATAAGAAGATCAATTATAAAAAAAAATCAAATTATTCCTGTCGGAATCTAATAAAATTTCGAACTTTTGCTTTGGTGGTATCCATAAGCTTGTGCACAGAATAAGAATTGAAGCCATTTGATGCTTTTTTAAATGATATTTTTATATATTTAATATTTCTGCAAAGTTTTTTTCATTTTTTTTTTTTGTAATTACCCAGAACTTTTCAATAACTCTTAATTCTGGGCAGTTTAGAGGATTTTCTGTTTTAGGCACAAATTTCACATTATTGTTTTAATACCATTCCAAAGCTAGTTTGTAATAATGAATTTAAGCTAAATCTGGCCAGAACACAGTTCTCTTATTGTGCAATTTAATGAGAGGTAAAAGGTGTTTTTGTAAACTCTCTTTAGCATATATTTGATCCGAAAGTGTGTACTGAGAAATTTAAGGTGCTGATATTTTGCCACAACTGCAAATAGTTTGCCAAATAAAGACTTTTTTTAGCAAACTTGTCATGTTTTATGTATTTAAATTTCTTATCTGCTTTTCCTCTACATTTGGCAATATAATAGACAATAATATAATAGAATTTGCTGATGATCGTACTTGATATAAGTTTCATCGTCTTTGATAATACAGAAACTTTTAGAAATAAAATTGCCATAAAACTTTCTGCGGCGGGTTTTTGCACTTTTTTGATGAGTTTCATATCGGTTGGGCACTTTTTGTGCTTTGAAAGAATGAAAACCATGTTTATTTTGAACTTTTTCAACAAAACTCAAGAAAGTCCATAAATGTTTGCACGCTCCCTTAGTGAAAGGCTTGGGTTAGTCTTAAAATTGTTAACCAGTTTACTAACTAGTTTTTTATCTTTAAAACCCTTCTTTCTTCCGCCACCAGATTTACGTTTGATCAATTTTGTTAAAGAAAAATGTTGGGTTACACGACTAACGGTTATAGATGTATTTGCAATGCTTTTGCTATCGAATTGTAGCTACTATTGGGATTTTCCAAATATTTGTGCATAATTTTTTCTCTAAGGTCGTCTTCTTTTGTCATTTTTAAAACTAATTTTAAGTTAAATCAAAAAACTAATACATTTTTTTGAAACCACAACCCAGTGTTGTAAACAAAATACAAAACAATTGAAAAGATTTTAATATAACCACTAAAAAAAAATTGGTGTACTTCTTCTTTTACATTTATTTTATGTACACGCTTTAATCCATTATTGCAGTTGTTTTTGACTGATTTTTACAGTTTTTGAGTTTATGTACCTTAAAGCTGCTAAATATTGCAACATTATAAATATTTCTTTAAACTTTAACTTGTTACAGTTTAATACTTACTTACAGAAAGTGGATTTTTTTGTTACCTTTGTGTACTTAGGGTCACCACTTGTTAGAATAATCAAATTATGCATTAAAAATTAATTTAGCACATGCAGTAGCCTATGAAAAATCACTTTTTTTAAAAATTATGATAAATTACATTGACTTTGCTGGCATAGAAAATAGCGTAAACAGTTGAAATAAATTATGAAACTTTTTCATGTTGAAGTTCTATATATAGACAATCACCAAAACAAAATTTAATGACCTATACTCTATCTTAAGACATGATTGTAGCCTTTTGAGAGTGATGTTTTTAAAAGGAGAATGTTATTAGACTATGAGCTAGTTTTAGTCATAGTCTAATAATTAGTTATAGGGATTACAGTAGTTTATTTTTTTTTTTTTTACCTCTGAATGAATATATTCAGTTTTCTTTTTAATGACATAATGTCCTAATTTGTACTAATAATAATGACATAATCAGTGTCATAATCAGTGTCTGATATTTGTTATTTTCTTTGAGATTTAATATGTTTATGTTTTTTTTAAACTTTTTAGATTAGTAATAAAAATAAAAAATGACAGAGAAATGTTGTGTGGGGAAAGTTTTAAATGAAGATTGCGACAAAACGTATTATTGTAGAATGATTGGAAGAATAAAACTAAAAGATATTGTGAACAAAGATGTTGAAGTTTTAATTCAAAGAATTAGACACACTTTTGAACTAAATGAGAGGATTTTCACCATAAAATAGTCTATATTTCTAGATATGAAGCGCTTCAAAAATACTGCTGTGATCCATTTAAAGTCCACAAGAAAAAATTTATTAAGGGATTATGTAAAGTCAATACTTCAACAGCAAGTCAACTTAAGATCAAACCTGGTCAAAAACTTTGCACTAACTGTGTAAATGAATTCAAACTTGAACAGATTACAGGAAAATTTAGTCATGAAGATGAAGACAAAGATGTTGATGATGAGGAGTTTAGTTCTTCAGACCTAAATAAGACAGTTTTAAATAAGAGTGCTTCTTTACTGGAAATATCTCCTCTAAAAAATGTAAGTAAACGTGACAAATTAGAATATGAAAAAACTAGAAAAAAGTATGACAAACCTAGTATCATCAGCATTAGATATAGACCTAAAAGAAATAATATCTGAGAAAAAACAAAAGTGCATTAACTCTAATGATTTAGACATACTTTTAGATGCAATAAAGGAAAAAGTAAAAATCAGTTTGAATGAAGAAAAAGTTCAGTTACTAACATTAACTCCTGATAGTTAGTTAATTAAAAAAAACTTGCAATGCATTTTCAGTTTCAGACCATCTTGTTAAAAAAGCCGGAGAGCTGAAAAATGAAAAGGAAATACTTGCTAAACTTGAGGCTAAAAAAGGACATCTTTTGGAAGATATTGTTAGGCAGAGAGTCATTGAAATATATGAATCTGACAAATACACTAGACAATGTCCAGGAAAAAAAGACTTTGTTTCTGTGCGTGTAAATAATGTTAAAGTTCATAAACAAAAATGCTTAATATTAATTCGTTTAAAAGAACTTCATTTGTAATTTAAGAAGTTATACCCTGAACACAAAGTGTTCAGGGTATTAGTGATTCAGCAAGTTCTGTGAACTAAGGCCAAAGTGGTGCCTTACTGTTGATAGTAGTGGAAGCCGCTCAGTTTGTGTATGTTCTTACCATCAAAATGCTTAGTTGATGTGCTCTGCTCTTCCTAACAGCCATTTAATATATTACAAAGATTTAACGAAAATATGTGTTTGTAATATAGATAGTCGAAACTGCATGTTTCATCTATGTTCCAACTGCCCTGGTAAAATAAATTTGAAGAATTACTTGGAAAATGTGTTTAAAAAGAATGATTTTGATTTTGATGATCAGATCACATATAAACAATGGGTGTCAACTGACCAAAATGCACTTATTACAGTCCAAACAAGCATTAGTGAATTTATTGAAACTTTAAGTGAAACTTTGTATGACCTTTGTCACCACCACTTTATCAAAGAAGCACAGTCTTCCTACTTATCAGTGGCAAAACAAATATTAGACCAATATACCTGCATTATTCTGATGGATTTTGCAGAAAACTATAGTTTTCTTGTACAAGATGCTATACAAGGGTTTTACTGGCAAGCTGATCAAGCTACCTTACACCCATTTGTTATTTATTAAAAAGATGAAAAAGATCACCTTAAATGTGAATGCTTTTGTTTAATTTCTGATCATCTTTGTCATGACCAATCAGCAGTCCATTGTTTCCTCTAAAAGTTGCTCCCTATCGTCAAAGTCAAACTACCCACAGCGAATAAAGATAAATACTTCAGTGATAGTGCTGCGTCACAGTATAAAAACTACAAATGTCTAATAAACTTAATTTATCACATTGTAGATCACCAAATAAATGCTGAGCATCACTTCTTTGCTATGTCACATGGCAAAAGTCCATGTGATGGAATAGAATAAAAAGAGAAGCAGCAAAAGCTAGTCTACGAGCAGCAATTACAAATCAGATTCTCACACCACAAGATCTGTTTACATGAGCTCAAAAAAATATCAAAGTTGTTCACATATTTTATCTTTCAAGTGACGATATCAATAACCATGAAACAACTTTTAACCTTCAGAAACTATATATAGGGATGTGCACAGTTCCGGGAACGAGAAGCTATCACTGTTTTGTACCAGATGGAGAGAAATTGTTTTTACAAAGAATCTCTAGTGATACTGTCTATGATACTCATGTGTTAAATGATGTTAATTTGATTAAAAAAAAGTCCTTCAAATTTTCAACCCGGTAAATATATTGCATGCTTTTACGATGAAGAATAGTACTTAGGGCTTGTGGTTGATATTTGTAATGAAAACCAAGATGTTAATGTGAAGTTTATGCAAAGAAACAAATTAAATTTAAAATGGAAAAACGATGCACGATCAAGTCAGTGTTGGGTTCCATTTGACAAGACAATACCTCAAATAAAAGTTCCATTGATTAAAAGTATAAGCGCTCGTGACTATATTCTTGCTAGTAATGACTATGACAATATTATGAGTTACATAAATCAGAGATAAGCTAATTAGTTTCATGTATACATACTTTTTCTTTAACTGACTATCTTAATCTTTGAATGCACTTTTTTACAGTATAGTTTGTATAAAATTTAAGGTAAAAATTTTGTATGTGGTAAGTGGTAATTTTTTGTTCTCCCTTTAAAAATATCATCACTCTCAAAAGGCTACAATCATGTCATAAGATAGAGTATAGGTTTTTTAAATTTTTTTGGTGGTTGTCTATATATAGAACCTTAACATTAAAAAGTTTCATAATTTATTTCAACTGTTTACGCTATTTTCTATGCCAGCAAAGTCAATGTAATTTATCATAATTTTTAAAAAAAGTGATTTTTCAATAGGCTACTGCATGTGCTAAATTAATTTTTAATGCATAATTTTAATTATTCTAACAAGTGGTGACCCTAAGTACACAAAGGTAACAAAAAAGTCCACTTTCTGTAAGTAAGTATTAAACTGTAACAAGTTAAAGTTTAAAAAATTATTTATAATGTTTCAATATTTAGCAACTTTAAGGTACATTAACTCAAAAACTGTAAAAAATCAGTCAAAAACAACTGCAACAATGGTGCAAAACTACCCTACAAAATTTCAGGTGATCACTATCTTTATTTAAAAAGTTTTGGTTTGTTTTAATTTAAATATTTAGTTAAAATTTTCTGGATTGTATTTTTTTCATAAGATCTGTGTGTGGTCAAAATTCAAAGCAAATCTGAGGTGGTACCCTGGGAGCCTTTAGGTGATTTGATATGGAATAACCCAAAAAGTTTATTGTCAAGAGCTTTTTTAATGAAAACTTATACTTATATTTGTAGAGACATTGTTTTTTTTTGAAAATCTATAGAATCTGTTATGCTTTAGGTTTTCAAATACTTTGTTAGATGTTAGATAGAATAGAAATTGGCTGATAATTTGTGTGGTCTATAAGAAAACTCTTTATATATATAGTAATGAGTTTCGTTATATTAAAAGCATCTTGAAATAAGCCTTTATTAGAAGAATTATTATATGGTATGAAGAGGTTTAAAAGTAACATGAGAAGTAACTTAAAAAAAGTGGATCTAAACTTTTATTGTTTTCTAGATTTTTTTTTATTAAATCAGACACCATATTCAGTTAATAGATTTAAAAAGAGTCAGGGTTAGAATTTTTTAAATAGTCAGAGAAGATACTATTTAAAGAAATCATTTTACTTTTAGGTGGGCATTTTATTATTTCATAGTAGTTGTTGAAAATGTTAGCCACAGCCATATTGTATAAGATGCTGTTACCATTAGATTTGAGAATGTACGATTTAATTGATGTGAAGGATCTGTGTCTTAGAAGTTAACCTACTATATTAAACTTTGCCAAGGCTGCAAAAAAAAAAAATTAAAAAAAAAAAGAGAAAAAATCAAGATGAAAATTGCAATTTAAAATTTTTTGTATGCATACCAAGTACCACTGGTTTATTACAAGTACCACATGTTTATTCAGTAATGAAATGTAGTTAATTAATAAAAAGTTAAATTTTTAACAACACTTTTCAACAAAATACTGCAATTTTGCCTTAAGATATCTAGTGATCACAGAAATCTAGTGATCACAGAAAAGACAAAATATTAGAATTGCAACTAAATAGGCAAATTTTTTTCTTGACATTAAATAAATTTTATGTTATATATTATTAAATATATATCTTTTAATTTTTGTTTTAATTCATTTTTCATCTTAACTTTAGCTTATTTTTTTGTTATGGTTAAAAATGTGCTAGTGCCATTTGCCTAATGGCACTAGCACATTTTGTACAGATTGTTCTGAAGTAGACTGAATTTGCTTCTATAATGATCTTTGTTTTAAATTCAGATTCTCTATAAGCACTTGCCTAACTCGAGAAAACTTCCAGATTATGCTATTGAGAAAGCTAAAGAGTTGATGCATTTAAAACCCAACAAAAAACTGCTACAAAAAGAGTTGATCAAATCCACAGGCAAAATTATCACTCTTAGAGATCTTTCAAACATTGCTGCTTCATCTAAGAAGGTTGAAAGCAGGAATGATATCACAACCTTTGTTACAACTTTAAAAGAAAAATATAGTAAGTAGTCTTATGAACTGATAATGCTTCTTGTTTTTTATTTTATTTTTTTTCATTTAAATTTAGCGTGTTTTTAAATATTGTTTCTCCATCAGTTCCTGTTATTATTGCTCAATAAATTGTAATTTATTGATTTTATATTTGATTAGTTAAAATTTAAATTCTATTATTATATTTTATTGATTTTATTAGTTCAAATTTAAACTCTATTTTCTAAATTTTTCTGGTTTTGTTTAAAAAGGTATTAAATTGACTTATTAAATTGAAAATAGGGATTGTTGTTGACATATCAGTTTCAGCTTTAAGCTAAACAATTTTAGCTTCAACTTTAAGCTTAAGTTGATAAGGATTAGAATAATCAGCTTGAGCGGGAGTTTAGGAGTTACTCTTAAGCTGCTCCTCAAATGATTTTATGCAAGTAAAAGAACATCTAATTTTAGATGATTGAATTTTAAAGATTTATTTTTAGATATAAAATTAATTAAATCAAGATGAATTGTTTACAGTTATGAAAGTTTAGTTGAATGATTGAAATAAAAATATATAATAACTATAATATATGTATATATATATATATATATATATATATATATATATATATATATATATATATATATATATATATATATATATATATATATACTAGGGGTGCACCGATCAAGCCTTATTGGAGAGCGTGTTCTGTCGTACATCTTGTTTGTTCACATTTTAAGTAATTTATTTTGACAACTTGACCACATTTTTATATATTCAGCATTTTAAGAGCTTGTTGCAAAAAAAAGCTATATGAAACTACAGAGAATAAAATAAAATTTAAAAAATTTAATAATTGTTTTCAAAAAAATTGTATACCTAATCATTTTACTGTTTTTTTTTTTTTTGTTTTTTTTTCAGGGCATTTTCTATTTTCTGCTACCAACATTGATACAAGTTATTCTCTTCCAGTAACTTCCAACACTAATTAGTGGTTGCTTGCAGCCTTGTTGGAAGCGAAAATGTTAAAAAAAAAAAAAAAGTCGACAAAAAAAGCAGATAAGAATATAATGAAAATAAAAACATTTTTTGATATACAATTTATTTGTGACTTTCGTCAGTCAGTATATTAAGAAAAAATGAATTTCGTTTGTCAGTCATTATATTTAAACAATGAATTTCCATATTTATTATTACCATAATTTTTCATAAATTGTCCATACTTCTAAATCACAGTACAAGTAAGTTAACAGTAAAGTTAAAACTTTTTAAATAATAAAGTTTAAACTTTACTGTTTTTATGAATGCGCAGGAATGCGAGAAAAGTAATTGGTATTTATTTGTAAAGTTTTTATTTTTTAACAGGTTTTTCATGTAAAAAAATAAAGTCATTAATATTTATGTTCAAATAGGTTGTTTTCACTACCCCCATTGAAATAGTCTGCACTTTCATTGGATTCTCCAAATTGTGTATTTTAACCCAATAATTTGTTTCTTGATGAATTATTGACAGTGACCATGCTCCAAATGCTTGTGGGCTCTACTGAACTTTAATAAATTATTAGGAGCTATTTAATACTTTTTAATAAGTTTTTAGCTACATTTTTTTCATACAGAGTAATTGATATGTTCATTATTTCTAGTATTTTGTGTTAATGCTGGAAATTGGGCAATATAAAGGAAGCAATTTCAGACAGGCATCAAATGTAGTAAATTTTTTTTTTTAATGCAATTTTTAAGTTAATTTTAGTTAAAATATACTGCCTTTTTCCTTAAATTGTATCAAATTCGGTAGCTTAAATTAACAACCACCCTAGAAAAAAGAATTCACAGTTGTATAAAATTTTTACAAAACAATTTTTTTTTTTAGAATTTATTATTTTCAAATTATTAAGTTTTTCCATTTAAAATAAGTATATTTCGTTACAATTTTGTTTCCTTTTTTTTAGAATTGGTTTTATTCTAAGTAAATAAGTTTAGCTTTTTGCCACAAACGCTTTATACCGCGTTAAAAGATGCGAACTGTTGTGGTCAGTGTGTCTAAAAAAATTACTTTAAATGTGGACAAAAATTGTGTGCCACTGCCGATTTGTACAGGCTGATACTGATCTATATGATATGTATCAGCTGATGCATTGGTCACTAGTTTAAATTTGTACAAATTATTTGTAAATTTCTAACTGTATACTCCCAGTTAGTACGGATCCTGATGATACCGACCTAGATAATGCTACTTATATGGGGTGATAGCTAATAAATTTAAAGGTACCCTGTGATGCAAATTCCAAAATCTTTTAATTTTGTCCGCGCAAAATAATTTCATTTGAATAGAATGCCAGGTAAAAAAATTTTAATTTCAAATGTCTCAAGCAGGCTTTTTTAGTTGGGATGCCAACTAAAAAAGCCTGCTTGATTTTTTATTTTCTACAATAAATTTAACAGATGTTTAGCTTTTACTGTGCAGTATATACATAGGTATCTATTGTTTTAGCTTTTATTACCATTTAAAGGGCAACAAATATTCATAAGTTTTTTGACTTTGTTTAAATTAATTAATATAGATAGAGGTGTTATAATCAAAAAATAATTTTTAAATTTACACTGCCAGAATTATTATAGGCTGACTAAGCTTTAACTTCAACCTGAAGCTTCAAATCAGCTTTAACCTTACGGTGATTGCTAAATATCAAATAAAAAACTTTCCTAATGAAAAATTAATACAAATTATAAGTAAAAAATTTGCAAAGTTTGCTAACACAAGTTTTTTATAGTAGTTGCTACTTCTAATGTTTTCATTCAGCCATTCAAAAAATGATTCACTAGTTTATTTATGTACTTAAATTATTATTTTTTAATTATTATTAAAACAATCATTTTTTTTTATTTCCAGATGCTAATGTTGAAGTTTTATTAGATTCTGACAACAATTTGAAAGGGATTTTTTTTCAAGACGATTTTATGCACAGTGCGTACAATTCATATCCAGAGTTCCTTTGTTTTGATGCAACATATAAACTGTTACAAATTCGTCTGCCTGTTTATATTATACTTTGTGAAGATAGTTGTGGTTAGTGTGTTTCTTTATACATTTTGTGATATAATTGATCATCATCCCTAAATTAACTTTTGTAAATAATACTGATAACAGTTAATTTAGGAATGTATCAACCAATCACAAAATGTATAAAGGAAATGAACAATTTTTTATATTCAAATACAAATATTTATTTTTTATGATTTTTTTTCTTCTTTTTTAATCTAATTTACTTCTAACAAGGCTGCAAGCAACCACTATTAAGTGGGGGTTACTTGAAAACAAAGAATAGAGTTATAGAGCAAGGAAGAGGCTGAATCAAGACTTAAAAGGTTTAAGATTTTAAGAGTCAGAAAGTTTAGGTTTTAAGTTTTAAGAGTCAGAGGTTGTAGATTTTAAGAGTAAGAGTTTATACATAAAAAATACAGTTTAAAATAACAAAAACACATAGCATGACAACTGACTGTGTTCTTTTTTCATATTTCTGCTTATTCTAAGCCTGTATAAGGTTTCCAAATATGTTTCCCAGAATCATTTAAATTTATGTTCACACAGAGAAGACTAATCGGACAATAATTGGAAGAGTTAAAATGTTGCATTGTTGCTAACTTGTTTTTTAATTAATTTTAATTTTATTAAAATAGGTGAAAGTGAAGTAGCTGCCGTTGGTTTAATTACAAATGAAGATGCGGCATCATTGAGGTTTGATGTTTATGCGATGTATATAAAGATAGTGTTTTTTTTTGTCAAAATAACTATTTTTATAATGTTTTTAGTTGGTTTGTAGAAACATTTAAAAAAAACAACTGTTCCTGGTCTAAAACTAATGCCATAATTACGGACAAAGACTTAAACGAGAGAGATGTTTTACGTGCTTCTTTTCCTGATGCATCTCTTTTACTTTGCCTATTTCACACTCTTAGGTAAAATAATCTAGTAACAGCTAGTAAGTTAAATGTTAATTGTTAAAATAATTAGTTCAAGGATTTTTATTTTCAGAACATTTAATCGTGAAATTTCCACTGTAAAACTTGGCATCACAAGTGGTCAACGAACGTCTTGTCTAGAACTCATTCAAAAATTAGCATATGCAAGATCAGAGACACAGTATAATGAATTTTATGACATATTTGTTTCTTTATCGCCAACTACAGTTCTCGAATATTTTAATAATAATTGGCACAACATTCGTAATGAATGGGTCTTTGGCTTAAATTATGCTTGTGCTAATTTTATGAACACCACTAACAATCGTCTTGAAAATTTTAATGGAAAACTGAAAGAAGTGATTGATTGTAATAGTACTTTAGAAAATTTTCTTGAAAATTTATATGTTTTGTTAGCCTCAATGCGAAATGAGCGAGACCACAAAACTATTTTCAAAATGCAGAAAATTTGTATAGACTTTTTTGAACCTAATTCAGTTGAATCAGAATATAAAAATATTTTGACAACATATGCATTTGAGCAAGTATTGAAACAATTTTCCTTGCATTCAGAAGTAAATCTTTTTTGTGACAATGAAAACTATATAGTTAAAAGCAGTGAAGGTATGCTTATAGTTACTTCTGATTCGTGTGGTTGTATGTTTAGAAAATCAATGGGTCTGCCGTGTCGCCATATCTTCGCAGTTCGCCAGTTGCTAGGTTTGAATCTATTTGATGCCAAGCTATGTCTAGAAAGGTGGACAATAAAGTATTATCGTCAGCATCAAAGAGTTTTTAATACTTCTTCCGAAACTAAGGAGTCTTGTGTGCAGATTAGTGTTGCTCCAAGAAAAAAAACAATCCTTTCTCAGCATGAAAAGTTTAAACTTGCACTTCGTACAACTTCACTGTTAGCTACATTGGTTTCAGAGTCAACTGGACCTTCTTTTGAACAGAGAATGGGTCTTCTACAAGAACTGCAGAAGGGTTGGGAGCATGGCAAAGTCATGGTGTTAAATGAACTTATTGAGACAGACTTAGGGGTATCTGATATAGTCTCAAATCAAACTTTTTCAGATGCAGGAGCACCAAATGATGTAGATTTAATTGAAATTTTGAACAAAGAGGAGGGAAATGAGATTGATTTTAGAAATGTGTCTTCAGAGGAATATGTTACTATCAATAATTTACAACAAAACCAAGAAAAATGTTTTGTTGTGCAGGACAAAGCAGGTTTAGTAGGTATATATAAAATTCAAAATAATTAAATGCAATTGAGAGTGATAATTATATTAAATAGAATTTATTAATTATGTAAGAATAAGATGGAGTTGTAGCATTTTGTACATTCATTTTAGATACTCAGTTAAAAAAGATTTGCTTGCCTCAAAATGTTGTCCATTGTGGACGACCTAAAGGTGCTACTCATACAACAATAGGTCTTCCTAAAAAACGTCTTTGTCGGTCTTCTGATGTGCCAGTTCCTTTTATAAAACTTGAACCAGCTAAAAGACATGCTTGTATGTTAAAAATATTATTTTAAAGTTTAAGCTAATAAATAATATTAGGGGTCATCCATAAAGAGTCTAACTAATAAATAGTAGTATAAGATTTTTTCTAGTACTAAGAAGATTTCTTTTCTTGCACAATTTTAAATTTATATGTTTAATTATGATCATTGTGCAGAAACGGAAATGATCTCCTATCTATATTAAAAAGTCAAATTCAGCATGACACACTTTATGGGTGACTACTTAATTAAAATTAATGGTTTTGCAGCATAAGTTATTAAGCTCAAATGGTTTTGTTATAGTGATGCTTGGTTGGTTTTTAAAAGCTGATGACGTACAGAAAGCTCTTTCTGGTACCCTTATCAATAAGAGTGCTGTAGAAAAAAGACCGAATTGTATTCCCTCATCTATACTTGATGAAAGTGCATTAGAGTTACTTTCTTCATTGCAAATATACTTTAGCTCGGATGCATGGAAAGCACTTGATAAAGTAATCAAGGCTAAAAAAAATCAGCATATCTGGCCATGTGCTGTATGTCTGAAGAGCACAAGCGAAGGAAATAAAACTGGTAATGCAATAGCATGTGATTCATGCTTATTGTGGTCACATAAAAAATGTGTAGGACAAAAAGAGAATTCCTTTTTAAAAGCAAGGTATTGGTTTTGTCGCACTTGTTATGGAAGGTAATGATTTAAGTATTACCTTTATAATTTTTGTATATATATATATATATATATATATATATATATATATATATATATATATATATATATATATATATATATATATATATATATATATATATATATATATATATATATATATATATATATATGTATATATATATATGTATATATATATATATATATATATATATATATATATATATATATATATATATATATATATATATATATGTATTGTTACAGATTATATAGTTATATTTAAATAGTATTATATAGATTGTATAGATTAGATACAGATTGTGAAAATGTTTTTAAAAGCTCTGTAAGATTATATAGTATTACATATATTGTATAGATTAGATACAGATTGTGAAAATATTTATAAAAGCTCTGTAAATCTTGTTTGTTTTTTTTGTTTTTTTTTTCAAAAATCTAGTATTATAAAATAAAAAGAAACTGTTTTTAAGAAAAAACGAAAGAAAAAAAAAAATTTTTTTTGTGACAATATTTTTTCCTTTTTTGTTTTTGTTTGTTTTTTGTTTTGTATTTAATCTAGAAATATGAAATGCCAAGTCCTATGGTTTACCTTCTCGTGGTGCATTTCGTTAAATAAGTTACAAAAGTTTTACACTTTGTAATTTATAAACTAAAAACCAAGGCAATATTTTTAGAAGTTATATAAGGTTTGTAGAAATTTTATAATATTTGTCAATTAATAAATTTATTAAATAAAAATTGAGTAAATATACATATTACATACCATGTTACATGCAATGTAATATATACATATGGTATTACAAATATGTTTACAGTTATGTTTTTTAATAAATTAAACTCTTTTATTAGGGAAATATATAACCCCATGCGTTTTTACTTAATGTGCAAAAATATCTGAATTAATTTATAAACGAAGTATTTACTAAACGCAACCTAATGGAAGTATACAATCTATAATTTGTGATCGATAGTAGATGGTAAATTAATGTTACACGCTCTAAGCAAGTATTACAGACCATCGTTTAGCAAAGCAATTTTAAAACAACCAATTTAACTAGAGTTTAGAAGAACAGCGAGTGATTTAAGGAAATTAATGAAGGAGAACGCTCCGAAGCAGAAATAGATCTTATTTATTTTATCATTATTTGGTAAACGAAATTACCTTAACTAATTTTAATAAAGATATCTTTTATGAATATTATTTATGTATTTACAGACACTAAATTTGCTACCAAAAGTACTTTTATTTGTTATTATATTTTAGATAGGTGAAAGCGGAGCAACATAGCGAACGTTTTGAAAGCCCTGATTTACTGCAAAACTATCAGTCGTGAAGCAATAATACTTTCTCAGTATGTTTATGTTATTAAAATGATTCATTGCCTGCATGAATTTTCAGATTGGAAATATAACAATTTGAAATAAATGTTAAAATAAAATGTTCATAAATTTGTCATCTGGTCACGTGACCGGGGCAAAATGACTTATTATGCAATTTTTGCCTCCAATTTTATAAAATTTTAAAAACTACCAATAACTATAACTAAAGTAACACAAAATAAACACAAGTCGCAAAAAACTAGTTCTAAAGAAGTTAAACTTAAAGGACACCATCCATTATAAGAAACCGAAACTGAGGCATTTTTTTTTTTAGCGCAAAAAGTAAACTTTTGCGTTTAAAATTGCGTTAATTTCAAAAAACCAATTGGTGTTCTAAAATTCATGATGCAAATACAGTTTCGTTCTCACACAATTTTAAGATTTTTTGTTGAGTTGTTATATGAAAACCCATCTTGCCCCATTCGCCTTGTTGCCCCGCTTTCCCCTATACTAATTTCTTAAAACGTATGTGTAAGTTATTTTATAAGATATAACTTAATAAAATAATTTACTAACTATTAAATTAATAATTAATATCTTAGTAAAACCGACTATAGTCGGCGGCCTAACATAATATTTTTATTCTAACAAAAGCGCTTTTTATTAGTACATAAATTCAATTTGACACGTGACATTCTTTGCTAAAAAAGGACTTTCGGTAGGCGAAGTTTTTTTTTTTTGGCTACCGACAGTCGAGGTGAGTTGTTTTTATTTTTTTATTTTACCGAAAGCGCTTTTATTGGTTGATAAATTCTATTTTGACACGTGACATTTTAAGCCAATAAAACGGACTTTCGGTAGGCAAATTTTTATTTTTTTGGCTACCGACTTTCGGTAGGCTATCCACGGCGATATATATATATATATATATATATATATATATATATATATATATATATATATATATATATATATATATATACACTGAGAGAGAAAGGGATATATATTATATATCCCTCTCTTTCAGTGAGAGAGAGAAACAGTTTATTATTTATTATTTTTAATATAAAATACTTAATCATAAAGACATTTATAAAAATTATTTTTATAAAATAATAAAGTTGAATTTGATAAATAAAATGCATTCGCATAAAGCGAATGCATAATAAACAATACTTAAGAGAAATAAACATTTTGAGCAACATACCAGATGATTTTGTTTTGTAACTTGAGTAGAACTAATAATAATTGAAACTCGCACTATAGATCATCTATTAGATGCAAAAAATAAAATAAAAAGGATTACTTTTATACAAAAATTTGAAATATTATTTTAAGAAGATATATTATCAATTTTCCAAGTTTTAACTGCTTGCAGAAGTTGTAACAGCAACGCTTTTTAAATCACTGGAAAAACGGCGAAATATTTCGCAAGAAACCCAGTAAACTTCCAGCGAACTTTAAGATCACTGGAAGTTTTTCGTTGGATTTCCAGCGAAGTCTTATGTTTCCATGAAAATCCAGCGAACTTTGCCGAAAACCCAGTGATCTTAGTGATCTTTAAACTTCCAGCGAACTTTCGCTGGAAGTTCGCTGGGTTTTTTTGTAAAGGCTTGGTCGTGAAGTAGAATGTTGCAACCCCCAAACCTGAATACCAGACGGAGAATGAAACAATGAACAGAATCCGCATCTTTTTCTATGGAAAAAACTTCAGCCCATCTAGTTAGGTATTCTGTTGCTACTACAATATACTTCTTTCCGTTTTTAGTTTCTTTCAAAGGACCAATTAGATTTATTCCCCAACGGTGAAAAATTTCATGTACTGGGATTGGATGGAGCGTCGCATGTGATGGCTTGTTGTTAGGATTTGTTCAGGACAGGTTGCTACAAACTTGCGTATTTCTTTTGAAATCGACTTTCACCAATACCTATTAGTTGCTTTTTTGATAGTGGCGTTTTTCCCAAAGTGACATCCTCCAACTATGTTGCTGTAGAGAGTTTGTATTACACGGTTGCGTTCATCTTCTCCAGCTACTACGGGTTGTAGTTTTTTTTCATTTCCTATGAGAAATAATTCTCCATGAACCAACCGGAAGGATTTTGCTTTCTTTCGAAGTATTCTTTTATCGTCATTGGTATAATTAGATGGATATTCATTTTTCCCGAGATATATTAGCAAAGCTTTGCGCTCTTCTTTTTCCATATTTTTGTTTAAAAAAACTAAATCAACTAAATAGAATAAAAACATATTTACAAAAATGCAATATTTGTATGTTTGAACTTCAATAACTAGTTGATTAATAAACATTCGGCAATATTTTTGCTCGTTACTGAAAGCAAATAACTATAATAATAAATAAAATGAAAGTTTTTTGATAAAAATGAGTTGCAATTTATAAAGTTGTTTAACTAATCATAACAAAAAACTTTTACAGATTTCAATTACGTAATCATTAACAATCCACACAAAAATTTGAAAACTAAAGAGCTTTTCAAAACGTTCAAAAACGTTCTAAACTTGCACGTAGTTATTTTGCTAATAATAAATTAAAAAGCGGCATGACACTTTATATCATTACTTATCTTTATATTTGTATTGTATTGTATATATATGTATTTGTGTGTATGTATATATATATATATATATATATATATATATATATATATATATATATATATATATATATATGTATTTTCTTATATGATGGATAATTTTTTCTTTGTTTGATATGTAAATGATATAACGGGGCTGGATGATAAGACTTTTGTCTTTTGCCTGCTCCTGTCATATCTTAGCTCAAAATGAATATATTGTAAATAATTTATGATAACTAGGGATGTACCGAAGCTAAAATTTTGCCGAAGCCGAAGCTTCGGCCGAAGCCACTTTGCCGAAACCGAAGCTTCGGCCGAAGCCACTTTGCCGAAACCGAAGCTTCGGCCGAAGCCGAAGCTTCGGCACTATATATGCTTAAAATTTAATCAGCATTCAGATCAGCAGGGGTGTAAAACAAAAAAGGTTCCAAAACTAAGATCCTTGACTAATAATATAGAAAAAATGTATAAAAATGAGGACACAAGTCAGGGTTGCTGCCCCAGGCAGGGCAAAAGCTCTCAGCGCCCCTGTTTGAAAGTTTCTCATTATGTCGTTTCTGATACTTCACCGCACCTAGTGTTTTTTTTTAAAACTTAAGCTTTTTTGAAACATTTTCCCCAAATTTTCCTACTTCTAATTCTACTTTTTCTTTGTGCAAACCATATTAATGTTATATAGTGCACAATATCAGTAACTCACATATATTTCCAACTATTCCCAATATTCTTCTAAGATTATTGCTATTTTTTTGATCTTTTATAGCCATACTGTTCTTCTATGTAAACATCGTTTCTCTTTAATCCTCTATCTAATCATCTAATTTTTAATCCTCTATTTAATCATCTTGTTTGCGCTATCTAATTATAGTGTGCTAGCTCAACATCCTAAAATTTTATTCCCCATAAATTACTGTTACGCATCTTTTTATGTGCTGTATATTTTATTTTTATTTTTAATGCACCTTTTGTTAAGAGTGGATAAAAATCTCTGAATATTACTCAAGTAAATTAATCTTTTACACTTGAACACTCTTTCTCTAATTTAACACTCTTAGCTGATCTAGTTGTATCTACAACATAAAAAATCTTACAAACACACTTTATCTTTTTATTGCTATTCATTTCAAGATCTTTTTTTTACTTCTCTGTATTCATTAAACGAACAATTTCTAAACTAAAAAAAACCCTACGTTAAGACCATTTTGTATTCCACTACAGCTGTTGTGAACCTGCTGCTAAAAAAAAGTACAGTTGATAGATTTCTCTCTAACTTCTTTTTTACACACTTTTAAGTTGTTGTTGTTGTTTTTTTTTATTATTTTTAATTTTACACTACATAACATTTTCTTAAGCTTCTTTTAATCTTTTACACTCTGAAATTATAGTATTCATTCTTCTTCTGTCTCTGTAATGGATAAATCTGCATCAGTATCTGAAATCAAATATTAACTATCTGTGGCAAAAACTTCTATAGTAATCTAACAACTCAGTAGAGTGAGCTTTAAATAAAATAATAGATAGAATACTTTATAAATATTTTATTTATAATTATATTATTATTTACTTTATATTTATAAATAAACAGGGACTGAGCAGGCTGATATTTATTTGATTTAAATTGTTTATTTAATTTAAATAAATTTTGATGATAAATATAAGAGCTCAAAGTAATCAAAGCTTTAACCTTTAATTTATTTTAAATAAAATTTAAAAGTCTTCATATCGTAAGAAGAAACCAGAATATAAGTTTATATGTTTAATATATAAATTCAATTTAGAAGTATTCATATTATTAATAAAAGAGCAAGGATAATTATTATCATTGTTTTTCTTTTTCTTTTAATTTATATAGTTTTGGTTGACTTTTTTTTTCTTTTTTTATTCTCCTCATTTATATTTCATTTGCATTTCTTCCTTTTTTGTTGTTGAGAACTTTATGTTTTTTATGTGTCACTCCATTGACTAGTTTGTAACTATATAAGTGACACCTTACCAATTTCTGTAATCTTACAATGAAAATTTGTAAATTTTTATTATTATGGTTAAATAAAATTTAACATACGCAGAATTTAAATCTTTAAAGTGAGATTACTAAGGTTTATAGGTCAAATGTTGAAACCAATTTTTGTTCTATTTGCGGTAATCCCACACAAAAATTAATATAAATTCGTTACATAATACAAATTAAGTTTTTTTTTTCCATTTTATTTTTAAAAAATTTAGTTTGTTTTAAATTATAAGGTTTTTTTTCTGCATAAAAATGCTAATTCAGTTCATCTAAGTCACACTTGGAAGCCTTCAAAGTGTATGAAGACCTTCCTTAAT